TAGTAAGGTAATTTTAATATATTTGATTTAAAAATTCGCTATATCAAGGGTTCGCTATATCAAGGTTTGACTGTATATAAGTATTATTTAATATAAATATATATTTGAATTAAAAGATTAATATAATAAATGAAACATAATAGTTAAGCATTAAATTATTTTATGATTATAAATAACTCTTAAATATTTATCATAATAAATATATTTAAAATTATCTATATATAAAGTATAAACTATTATATTATTATAATTTTAATATTTGATTAATAATTTTTAATTAATTTAAAATTTTTTTTTATGAAATAAAATATAATAATAAAATTTTAATATTATAATATTTAAAATCTTATATTTTTAAATATAATTATATTATAAAAATTACTTTATAATATTATTATTCTTTTATAACAAAATATCAATTTTAATATTTTTTTTATACAAGTTTTTCTAATATTTTTAATTAATTCTCTTAATAAATTTTATTACATTATTTTCTTAATAATTTGATTATTTATAGAAACAGATCAGAAGAATTAAATCACATTTTATAATCTGTGCATCCAAAGAAATTTTCATAAGCATTATTTGTATTAAACGAGAAAAATGACAGCTTGTCAAATCTTTTTTTGGAAAATAAATATGATGATCTTACATTTGTTGATCCTAATACAATATAAAAAATTTGAAAATTTGAAAAATAAAAATTGTTACAAAAATTTTCGATGGATCCATATAATAGTAAATTTTGTTTTGTTTGTTTTGTTTTGTTTTTTTTTTTAATTATCATTTTTTAATGAAATTTATTTGAAATATTTACTAATTTTTTTTATTTTAGATGATGATCCCGATTACCGTGATACTCCATTAGTTTCTCAAGTTATAAAACCTTCGGTTAGGACAGTCACTCCTCCTGAACAACGCAGAAGTTCAGGAGGAAGAGGAGGTTCATTTAATAGGAACCAATATCAACAACATTCTGGTTACCAAAGTTATCATAATTCTCAAAATCATCAACATCAACAACATAGAAATTATAATTATTCTAATTATAATTCAAATAGATATGGTCAACAAAAACAATTATCGCCACGTTCACCACAAGCTCCACTATCTTATACAAAAGAAGAGCGGCTTAGAGAAGATCATCATCGAACTCCTACTCAAGAGCAACAATCTCCTCCACCTTCTGTTCCAGTATTATCCTCCTCCTCCTCATCTTCGATTGTTTTACCTTCTTTATCAAGTTTTTCTCAATTATCATTTGTACCATCATCTTCTACTACCCTTCCTCCTATTCATCAAATTTCTGATGGTGAACAATCTTATCCTACAAGAGATCAAAATATTGCTTTGCCTCAAATAATACAATTACCTAAACAAAATGTTGATTTTATCTCTTGTAATATTCCTTATGAAGAAAAAAGGATTATTGAGGGATTAAATATGGCTGCCGGCCAAGTAAGTTAAACTTTAAAAGTTCTGAATAGAATTCGAATTTGTTTTTAAAAAATTAATATTATTTTATTATTAAAGGTTAACGAACCCGACTTTAATCTATTTTGTGATTCTAAAATCGTATATAATCTTCTAGCAAAGAAGGTATAATCTCTATCAATTCAACTAATATAATAATAATTTTCCAATATCATAAGATTCTTAATATATATATATATATATATATCTTTTTTTTTAAAAAAATAAAAATAAAATGCTAATAGAATAGCATGGAAGATATATCACATGAAAAATTTACTGAAGCAAGACAAAAATCAAATCCATATGAAAAAGTGGGTAATTCAATTTTTATGAATAGAGCTGCTGTAAAATTAGCATGTTTAGATTCTTTAGTCGGCCTTACGGGAATTAAAAGATATGATCCAGTTAAAGAATCTGTTAGTATACATATTTAACTTTTTTAAATTTACGTTAATATTTTCAAAATTGATAATTATACCTTATAAATACAAAAAGGTATTTTTGTTTGCGGATTTATGTGGGGGACCAGGAGGATTTACAGGTTTGTTAAAATGTAATTTTTCAACGAATTAATAATATAATTAATTTTAAATTAAATTTTATTTTAGAATATTTGTTATCGCGTAAACAATCTTGGGGAGAAAAGGTTTTTGGATGGGGAATTACTTTAAAAAATTCGCAGGATTTTGATTTTAATAGGTTTCATCATGAAACTATGCCAGAAAGTCATTTTAAACCATGTTATGGAATTGACGACACAGGTAATTTTAACCTCGAATATTTATTTATTTTTCCTGTATTATATGATAATGCTAATATTATAATAATAATTTATATTTGTAGGTGATTTATATAAGGAAGAAAATATTAGAGATTTTGCAAAAGTTGTAAAAAAAGAAACTCAAGAAGGTGGCGTAGATTTAGTGACAGCTGATGGGGTAAGATTTGATAAAACATTTATGTATATATGTATATAATATCAACTGTATATGAGATAATTCTAAGGAAAATCAGATTCTGTGAATTTTTTCAATAAACTTATTGATGTTATTAGATTAAAATGCATTAGGATCTTAATTTAGTCAAAAAATTATTTGAATCTTATTTTCCTAGCAATTATCACATATTACGATGAAAACTAAATATTCTATATAATTAAATAGGGATTTGATGTAAAAGGACAGGAACGATATCAAGAAAGTCTTTTAAAACAACTGATATTATGTCAAGTGATTACAATGTTTATGACGCTCCGAAAAAGTAATTATTAATGATAAACGATTTTTTTTTCGTAATTAATTAATTATCTTTAACAAAAAAAAATTATTAGATGGTGATTTTGTATTAAAAGTATTTGATATATTTACACCATTTACTGGAGGTATTGTATGGATATTATATCGTCATTTTGAAAAACTTTGTATAATTAAACCATTATCAAGTAGACCTGCAAATTCAGAAAAGTATTTGATTTTTAGCTTAATTCAAGAAATTGATTTTTAATATATTCTTTACTAATTTTTATTTGAACTTCAGATATATAATTTGTCGAAATCTACGAGAGAATAATCCAGCAATAATAGATTATTTATTCAAAGTTAACAGGAAATTTAATGAAATAAAATATACAACAATGAATAAATCAACTTTATCTCCAACAACTACATCATCATCATCACTTAATCAATTATTAACACAAGATTATCAACAAATACCAACGCCGAAGGAAGATATAAATGAAATTATTGATTTTTCAGAAATCAATAAAGATCAAGGATTTTTGGAATATATTAAACGAAAGAATATTGAAATAGCTAAGGATCAGATTGAAGCTATCAAACAATTAATGAAATTCGTTGATAATCCGTATCCTTTTTTATGATAAATCCAAAAGTAAAAGAAGTGATATAAGAAAGATTTTAATCTTTGGATGTTTTTCTTAATTTAATTTTATTATAATACTTTATAGAGAAATGAAACCACTTAATCAAGAAGAATATAGAAGACTTTGTTTGCAAGAATGGAGTTTACCAAACGAAGAATAAATTTCAGGTTTGTATTTATATTAAACTGCAACTGCAGGCTGCAAATCATTTGAAGGTTTAGATTTTTTAAACTGTATTTTCTCCTATGCATTGTAAATTAAAAGATTTGAATTAACTATACTTGAAAAAATATGATTAGGTTATTATTTATATTGTAAATATTATTATTAAATTATTTTTTTCTTAATAAATTAAGTTCAAAATATCTTTGACTAGCCGAAAATGATTCATGCATAATCTCAAGATTTCTATAGTTAATCAGAAAAAAGAATTTCCTTTCATACCGGGACAATAAATAATATATACTATATATATATATTTGGTGTATACTCGATAAGTTTAATAAACAAAAAACCTTATTGTTTTTTATTATCCTTTGTTGAAATAATAAAATATAATATTTTACTGAAATTAATGAATACGTAAATTAATGAAAATTTGACACAACATTATCAATGATTCTTTGATAATTTGAAAAAATTACATTTTGATTTGATAATACTAATTTCGAACCACCATAAAAATATTACCGGATCATGAATGTCCCAAAACCTAGTATATATCCATAAATTGTGTCAAGAGAAGAATAATCTGTAAATTTCAATTAACTAAAACAAAACAAAAAACCACCAAAGAATGGAATTTAATATATAAATCAAACTGGTTTGATGTCAAAATAAACAAATACGTAAGTTATGGCATAGGTTTATAACAAAGGATTGGCTTAAACGATAAAAAATTCTTACCGGTGATGATACATTACCAAAAGTTAAGGAATCAATTTTCCATCTCGTGATTTGTTGTCCGAGGATTGGTAACTGTTGATTTAGTATATGGATAATATCGATAACGTTTAGCTCGTTTAGCATAGTCTGTAATTCTTGTACTCTGTGACTTTAATATAAAGAAGAAACGACGTTAAGAATAAATATAACTATATCGACGAAACAAAAAAAGGAATATAGCAACTCACATCAGATTCCGGAGCTGATGAATCATCAGACACATCTTCAATCTCATGATTATTCATGATATTCGTCACATCCGTTACATTTGCTACTGTTATAGGTTTACTATAAAACGCAAAATTTCTTCAATCAATAAATTATAATTAACAAGAGAATAACAATAACCTATATTTACTTTACATAACGCATTTCTCCGCCGGCATCAACAGACGTTGGTCTCTCAGCCTCCGCTTTTAAAAGTGGTAATATACATCGTGGTTTAATGGATTTTCCGAATGAACTTTAAAAAAATTAAGTTAATAAAGACAGAATGAGACAAACAAAAAACAATAGATTTAATTATACCGAATCGTGCCATTTTCTATGACATCATCTTCGCCATAAGGATGATCATAATACGATGGTGGAACCGGATAACGTACGCCACGGCTATAGAGAAATAAAAATAATAATGAACATTTACAGACTATAAATATGAAATAATTTTTAATACCATTTACTTACAAGACTTGTGCGAATTGGTATTCATTGACTTTATTGCCCGATCCAACAGTAGACGATGAAAGGAATGGGTTATTTGGGGAATCTCTCATAATCGATAAATTTTGTTCGCGTTTTGAGCGCGTTAACAAATCATATTGTGAAGAGCACGATGCTTCACTTATTAAATCATCGTTTTTGTCTGAATTTTCTGGCATAATTAGAAAAGGATTTCTGGGGTAATCGCTTTCAATCAATCCACCTTTTGACTCAATTTCCATAATCGTTTCGATAAAACTTTTACGCCATTCTGAATCGTTTTCATCGTCTTCAGAATCAGTGATTTCTAATTCATTAATATGGTCTGATAATGATTCTTGTGATTGCCATAATAATTTTGCGGGATTAGGCATTTGTCTAAAAAATGAAATTAATGAATAATTTAAAAAAATATATATATAATAACGCGTAATATAAGTTTGATAATTACATACTCTTCACTGGAATGTACGTTCATAGTAAAGTTCTTTCCACGGCTTGAGTTTAGTGAATAAAATTTTAAAACATGCCAGTATACACGTATATATATATAAATATATTTAATAATTATACTTACTGCAGATATACCATCGTATCCCTTTATTTACGCGTTTCTTGTGAAGTGGAGATAACTTTGGTAGTTTAGCCTCTTTTTCTCTTTCGATCGCTAAGGTTCAAACTGAATGACAAAAGGAATTAATAATTCCAAATTTAACGCTTTAGATGCTAGAGAAGTCTTGTTGTAAACAGCTTTATTTAAGGAATAAAATGTTTTGAAACTATAGCTAACTTCGTGGCGATTTTCGCTACCTATTTCTCTAAAATATTCTGTGACGCTAAAGGCGAAGTCCTTTAAAATTTGTCAAATTTGATAAGTAACATGAACTTCTACATTCTAGAATTGTTACACGAAGGTAATGGTCACAGAAATTGTTAACGGTTCAGTTATGGTCGCGTTATGTGACTTAATTTCTCTCCAGTAAATTTTGTCGAAGTCTATATCCATAGAATCTCATCATCTGAGCTTTGAACTGGTTTCTTAATATCAAACAGAAAAGCTTATATTATATGTAAAGGAAGAATCTTTTTAAGTTCCTCTTACAAAATATTATCTTACTTAATGATGTTATAATAAGATTAGCAATTCTATTTTTTAGCTGAAAAATCTTTTTAAGAAGCTTAGATAATTTTTTGATATCTGATTTTCTTGAAAAGATATAAATAGTAAATTTACTCAGCAATTTTTTTCTAGATAATGGATTTTTTTTTCTATTGCAGATATTTTAAGATCTGAGTTCTTCCATTTAAAGATCTTTTTTTTTCTATATATATTTATCTTTAACCAATTATTATATAAGTCATGCTTTAGAAAATTTTATCCAGCTTTCATATATTTTATTTTTAAACATTCTTACTTTATATTCTATTCAAAAGCAGAAATCTACTTATGATCCATTTATATAGAAGATTTAATCACATGATTTTTCTTATCTAAAACAATTAAAATTTTAGTCATACATTTGGATAATGTTGTTGTTAAAATTTTTAAGATAGTTATATATTTTTTAACAGATAAGAAAGGATAAATAAAAAAGTAAAAATTTCTATAAAGCTTATAAAATTGTATAATATAAAAAATTTATGGATATTATTTCAATCAAAAATCATTAAGAAATACATATAAAAAGAAGATCGTCAATTTTGCTTAAATGAATATCATGAATTTTTAAAATAGTAGTATATAAATCAAATTTATAAAACTTTTCTAAAAAATATTTCTAGATATAATTATAGATGAATAACAATTTCAAATTATGTAATATATTATTTTTTATAAATGATTATTATAAATGTAAAAATATAAAGTACTGATTAATATAATAAATCTTACTGATACAAGACTTCATTTCTTTTAATATAAAAATGTTTTAAAGTTCTTAGATATTTATAATGATTTGAGTAATCCTCTTATATAATCAAAGTTTTTATAATATGATAAAATCATAAATTTATTGATAAGGTTTCTTAATTGATTAAAGAATATATATAATATTACTATTTAAATAGTTTGTTTATATTTTTATTGAAGACTAGCTCTTGTAAAATGTTAGAGATGTTAAACAATTCCAAATAATTGTCTAATTGTTTATCAATAATAAATAATTTTTAATAAAATATTATTTTAATAAATTTTATAAAATCAATAATTTTTATAAAATTACTAAAGTAAGTTCTGATCTTTAAAATTAGATTCTAAGTTTCAAAAATTAAAATTCTGGATTCCTATATAAGTTTAATATATATTTTTAATTATTTAATTAATATATCCTTATAATATATCTAAATAATAATAATAATATATTTTTTATAAAGTTTGTATACATATTTCATGATTCTATATCACAATTTCATATATGTATAATAATTTATTTCTTTATAATTTTTTAGAAAAAAGAAAAAAAATTTTTTTTTATTTTATTTCACCTAAAATTTTTAGATACAAAAATTTTTTAGAAAATAAAAATGCTTTACTTAAAATTTTATTAATATTTTTCAACTTTGTTAGTTGGTTCTATTGATATTTTTCAACAAATATTTTATTCTTAAAAGAGTTTCTACTAAAAATTACAAACAAACAATGATTCTGAAAAATAAACATTTTCAATTTGATTCTAAAAGAAGCAAGCAACCTAAATCTATTACTATAATATCAGGAATTATTTCTATCAATAATTCCCTTACTGATAAAAATATCATTACTTTTCTATTTAAAAAAAACAATATTTGAAAATATTTAAACAAAGATGAATATGTTTCTATTGAAATACTTTACAGAAACCCTTAAAATTCTAACGATATCGATTCGATATCGCAATAATATCATAACGATATTAAATCGATATCGTTACGATATCTATGTTGATTTGATATCATAATGATATCTAGAGCTCTGAATCAGGTCAGATCAACCTGTGATCCGATCTGACCTGACCTGAAAAATCCAGGTTGGATAGACAAATTTTCAGGTCAACATCAAGTCGGGTCAAACTTATGACCCGACCTGATAAAATTCGGGTCAACCAATCAAATTAAACAAAATAAAATATTTCAAAAAAAAATTTTTTTTTTGTCTATTTTTTTTTTAAAACATCTTTAATTTTATTTAATATACTTTATTTTTATATTC